CAGCAACAAGGAAACGTCTGATGCTTAAACTGTCAGATCTCTCATGTTCATTACGGTAGCCCAAACTATTACCCCAGCTGGAGGAAGCAATTCAGGTGTTTCTGTAACAGAGGCCATACCTATCTGATCTGATGAATAATTTTGTTTGTTCCAAGACTGTTAAAGAGCTGATGGATACAAGAGCCAGAGCCACCTGGTCATGTGCTAAGGAAGAAGTTTATGACTACTAAGTCCAAACAGCCATGCTTCTTATCCAACAAGTCTTCACCAAGGGGCCCCAGAATAACTGAAGCTCTCTCTCTGACTCCCCACACCCTCCCTATACTCTTTATCTGAGTGTAATCACGTAATTAAGTGTGTGTTTCCTTAAAAATATCTGGTCTCAGACCCGGCACCATAGCTCAATGGCTAAATTCTCACCTTGCAAGTGCAGGGATGCCACATTGTCATTGGTTTTGTCTTGGCTGTTCCACTTCGCATCCAGCTCCCTGCTTGTGGCCCGGGAAAGCAGCAAAGGATGGCTCTAGGATTTGGGACTATGCGCCCACCTGGGAGACCCAGAAGAAGCTCCTGGCTTCAGATCGACTCAGCTATAGCTGCTGCAGCCACGTGGGGAGTAAACCAGTAGACAGAGATCTTTCTCTCTGTTCCTCCTCATCTCCATAAATCTGATCTGCCTTTTCAATAAAATAATAAATATTTATATTTTAATAAATAAAAAAAGATTTTTTTAGTGGGAAAACCAGATTTACAGAAAGAAGGAGAGACAGATCTTTCATCCACTGATTCACTTCCCGGGTGGCTGCAGTAGCTGGAGCTCAGCCAATCTGAAGCCAGGAGCTTCTGGGTCTCCCATGTGGGGGCAGGATCCCAAGACTTTGGGCAATCCATTACTGCTTTCTCAGGCCACAAGCAGGGAGCTGGATGGGAAGCAGAGCAGCTGGGACACAAAGTGGTGACCATATGGGATCCCAGGTGTGCAAGGTGAGGATTTCAGCCAGTAGACCGTTGCATGTGGCCCAATAAATAACTCTTTTAAAAAAAAATTGTCCTCATTCATCTGGGAGATGGGATGTTGCACCATGAACTTGTTACCATTGCTAGCAGCCTGAATAAACTTTTCTCCCTCCTGCCCCCAAATCTGTGTCCTTTAGGTTACTGGCGTCTCTTGTGGCAAGGATCAAATTTGGGTTTGATTGTGCTTCTAGAAGCACCTTTAAGTATCCCTGGAAAGAGACTGGTCAGAGTGACTTGCCTGTGGTCCCACAATTCATTTCTGACAAGCTCCAGTGTCTAATTCTCAATTCCGTGTCCTTTCTCTGGTCCTTTCTCAATGGGCCATCACTGTTCTAAAAATAAATCACAGAGCCAGTGCTGTGGAACACAGGGTTCAGTATTCCCACATAAGAAGTGATTCGAGTCCTGGCTTCTCCACTTACAATCCAGCTCACTGTTAATGTGCTTGGGAAGGGAGCAGCTGATGAATCAAGTGCTTGGATCCCTGCATTCTCATGGGAGACTCAGCTGGAATTCCAGTCTCTTGGCTTTGCCTTGGCCCAGCACCAGCCATTGCAGCCATCTGAGGAGTGAACCAGCAGATGGAAGATCTCTCTCTGTGTGTCTGTCTTTTCCTGTCTTTCTGTAACTCTGCTTTTCAAGTAAATACATCTTTAAGTACATAAGCATGAAGACCTCATAATATCAGTCCCTGGGAATAAATGCCATGTACATGTAAGAAAATAAGTAACTCAAACTTGGATATTTAAAAGCTAGGAAATCCGGGGCCCGGAGGCATGGCCTAGTGGCTAAACTCCTCTCCTTGAACGCGCCAGGATCCCATATAGGTGCCGGTTCTAACCCTGGCAGCTCCACTTCCCATCTAGCTCCCTGCTTGTGGCCCGGGAAAGCAGTCGAGGACGGACCAAAGCTTTGGGACCCTGCACTCACATGGGAGACCCGGAAGAGGCCCCTGGCTTCGGATCGGCATAGCATCGGCTGTTGTGCTCACTTGGGGAGTGAATCATCGGACGGAAGATCTTCCTCTCTGTCTCTCCTCCTCTCTGTATATGTGACTTTCCAATAATAAATACATCTTTATTAACAAAAATAAAAATAAAAGCTAGGAAATGCAGATATTTGTACACTGGGATGCTTAATTTGTTTGCTGTGCTAAACAGAGCAAAAACAGTTTTTTCTACAACTATATTTGTGCATTTATAAGTTGTGCCAGAAATTAGTGAGCCATTACAGCGTCATACACACATCTTGATTTTGGGTCAGGTGTCCAGGCCTCACGTTTTCTTCACGTGCTCCTCTTTTGTAGAAGAGACGGTTGGAAACGCTCTTCAAACATGATTAAGGTGGGCCCGACGCGGTGGCGCAAGTGGTTAAGGTCCTCGCCTTGCACGCCCGGGTTCCCATATGGGCTCCGGTTCTAATCCCGGCAGCCCCACTTCCCTTCCAGCTCCCTGCTTGTGGCCTGGGAAAGCAGTCGAGGACAGCCCAAGGCTTTGGGAACCTGCACCTGTGTGGGAGACCCGGAAGAGGCCCCTGGCTTCGGATCGGCATAGTATCGGCCGTTGCGCTCACTTGGGGAGTGAATCATCAGGTGGAAGAGCTTCCTCTCTGTATATCCTCCTTTCCAATAAAAATAATAAAATAAATATTTTAAAATAAAAAAAAAAACATGATTAAGGTGCTAGTCCTTGTCTAGCCATGGTTGTAAGCACCAGCAGATGGGAGGAAATCCCGAAACTGTCCTTAAATCAGAGTGGAGAATTCAAGATAGGGCATGGGAGGGGAGGGGGGCTTGGGTTGGAGGGCAGACTGGGTGGGGTTGAGGGGCTCCCAGGGGCACCAGGAGGACTCCCTGCCACATCCTGTGACTGTAGGACATGTGCGGCTGATCGGAGACGCCCTTCCTTAGCTACCTTTAGACTCTCTGGAAGGAGGTTCGGGATGACCTTCCCAGCTGGATAAGTTGGGGGCCCCTGCTCCTGGTTCAGGGACCCTATTTGTGGGTATTCTGTGTATGTCCTATTGGGGAGCCCTGGAGGAGAAGTGGGCTCAGTCTCAGAGCAGGGAGGAGTGGCTGGGCTTTGTTTGTTTCTTCCGCATCTGCAGCACAGCCTACCTTAAGGAGAGGGCAGCGGTGGGGTGAGGGGGCAATGGGCACACATCCCCTGCACCAGGTGTTCCCACCTGCTGAAGACTGGTACTCCCAGAAGAGCAAGCAGGGGTCTCTGGGAATGCGGTTTGAAGTGAGCTCAGCAATCAGTGGCCAGGGTCCGTGGGCACAGACTGAGGAGGCTCTTCCTGGCAGATGCATGCCCACATGGGCACACACACGTGGGCACATGTGTGCGCACACACGCAAAACAGCCTGGCTGAGTAGAATGTCCTGAGATTGAGGGCTAGCGAGTGGCTGTTCTCTGGGGCTATACTTCTCTGGAGGGCTCCACCACAGTCCTGGAGGGGCTGTCCTCCCCAGGAAGGGGCCCCATCCCTCACAACACCTTAGGGATGGCACATAGTGCTTGTGCACACAACGGGACGTTTCCTGGGGTGGATGGACGGCTGGCTACTTGGGCTCATTGTGTGTGCAAAGGTAAGGAAGCCAAACTAACCAAAAGACTTGACCTGCATCCTGTTCCTTTTACTTCAGAGCTTTAAGGAAAGTTGGGCACTTGGCAAGCAAGGGTTACATGCCTCACAGCTCCCGCTGCTCCTCAGAGCAGCCGTCAGTCCCCGGTCGGCATTCTGCTAAGCACACTGACGCCAGCTACTCCGCCCACTTTCTGCTTTCCTGCAGGGCGAGGCGCCAGGGAGCCAGCGCCAGCAGGGGGATCCTGGGCTCTTGGGACCTGCTGACTTAATACTGTGCTCCACCTGTGGCTCTTTTCTCACTAGGGTTAAGGCAAAGTATCGTCCTTCCTTGTTTTTGTTGAAAGTGAGCTCCAGGTAGGGTGCAGGGCAGGAATTAGGGGAGGGGAGGTGGGATCATTCCACCGTAGGGGTGGGGGGACCCCGTGGTTTCTGTAGGTGGGTCTTGGGAGATTTCAAGGCTCCATATCTCATCTTCCCAACAGGTGCACCTCCCAGGAGGGTATCTAATTTACCTTCCATATTTACCTAACATATTTCTATTTTCCTCCAGCCTTTAAAATATTTAATATTTTGTTCATCAAAAACCTTTTTGCATTAGTTTTACACTTTCTTTTTAAGAAGACTGCGTTACAAATTATCCCGATGATGGAGATTTTTTGGCACGGCTTAGGAAGTTTCCCACTCACAGGTGCCTCACTGCCCACGAGTCCCCTTCTCCTTCCTCCCCTGCCTTCGCTTACATCGGAGGAATCCTTAGGCCCACCGCGCTTTTTTAAGTCAGGCTCCTTAAATTAAGCCGCCTTTTAGAACCGGCCCCAATTTCCTCCACGAACCCTCTGTGTGGAGCTTGTTTCTGTGTCCATGCGGTATGGCCAGCAGGAGACGGAAGTGGCACCTTTTCCCGCTGGACACACTCGCCCGCCAGAAGCAACCTTCCAGAAAGAACAGAGCCCAGGGTCCCCAGAGCCGCGCTCGCCCCCAGCCTAGTCTTTCCTCCATCTTCCCGGGCTCTGGGCAGCGGCACGATCTCCAAGGCTGGTTCAAGTGCCCCCGGGAGCGGGCGGATACCCTGCCAGGGCGGAGGGGAGCGCACAGTGGGGTACGCAGTGAGGACGGGGGAAGGTACACTTCGTGGGCAGCGCCAGGGTCGGAGGTTGGGAGGGATGCTGGAAGGTGGCCACTGGAGAGGTCGGGGCGCAGGTGGGAGCGCGCGCTGGGCGGAGCGCGCCGGCGGCGGTGTGGGCGGGGCGGGTTGCTGTGGTTTCGCGGCTGGCGTCGTCGTCTGGCCAAGTGGAAGGGACGCCTCTTCCCCGGCCTGAAGCGAGCCAGGTCCTGGTGAGGTCCGCGTGGGTCTGTGGATCGCGGGCGGGCCGCCGACTCGCCAGTGCAGAGCCATGGTGGACTTGTTGGGTGGACGGCGCCTGCTGACCCGCGAGGGCGCGTCGGTGGAGGCCGAGGCGGCGCTGCAGAACAAAGTGGTGGCGCTCTACTTCGCGGCGGGCCGGTGCGCGCCGAGCCGCGACTTCACGCCGCTGCTCTGCGACTTCTACACGGCGCTGGTAGGCGCGGCGCCGCGGCCCGCGCCCTTCGAGGTGGTCTTCGTGTCCGCCGACGGCAGCGCCGAGGAGATGCTGGAATTCATGCACGAGCTGCATGGCGCCTGGCTGGCGCTGCCCTTCCACGACCCCTACCGGCAGTGAGTGGGGGTCCTGGGCTGGGGCGGGTTGCCCAGCTCCGCCTTTATGCCGCCCCTTTCTGTCCAAGGAACGTCGCTGGATCTCTCTGAGCAACCCTTCAGGACCGGGTTGGGCAGGGTGCGCTTCTGGGGCTTTATGCTCTAAGCGCGCTGGTGGGCACCCAGCTAGCTGTCCCTTCCCCAACTCCCGCCTCTGGTCAGCGGTCAGCGGGTGGGAGGGCGAGGGACAGCGCCACCCGGATCTGCGAATGCACTAGGCGTGTGGCAGCGGTGGGGGAGGTTTTGGGCTGGAGGAATAACTCAGGTATTTGGCTCCCATTTCGGGTTGGTGTTTACCGGCAGTGATGGACTTGTAGAACCGTAATGTAGTCGTGTGTTGCGCGGGGCAGAGGTAGGTGTCTACGCTGTGCTCAAACCCTCCGTGTTGGGCTTTTGAGTTTGTGAATTGAAAGTTGAGCTCAGAGCTTTCTCTGCGCCAGGACTCGTGCGCTGGTGCTGTTAGTGCTAAAGCTCTCCCCTGGAAGCAGTAGGGTGTTCAGGTCCCTGCCGTCCATCTGGGAGATCCAGATGGGGTTCCAGGCGCCTGGCTTTGCCTGGTCCAACCCTGGATGTCAGTGAGCCAGCAGATGGAAGATCTTTGTCCCTCTGTCTCTCTTGCCTTGCAGAATAAAATAAAATTAAATGAGTCTCAGGTCATAGAGCTCATTGCCTCAGCCAGATGGTTGTAGGTGGCCACATGAGCTCCCAAGGTCCCTCTGCAGAGGTTGGGAGCATCAGCCTTGCCTCCCTGCCTTAAGATTTGTTTCTTATTTATTTGAAAGGCAGAGTTAGAGACAGGGACCAGGCTTTTGGCGGCGGGAGGGGGGTGGCGTGGTTTGAGGGGGGAGATGGGTTGGAAAGGGAGAGAGAAGACAAAGAGGAGAGATCTTCTGTCCGCTGATTTACTCCCCAAATAGCCATAACCCCTGGGGGTTGGACCACACCAAAGCCAGGAAACTGGAACTCCATGTGGGTTGCCACCTGGGTGGCGATGCCCCAAGCACTTGAGCCTACTGTTTCCCAGGCAGGTTAGCAGGGAGCTGGATTGGAAACAGAGGTGGGATTTGATGCTAGCTGCTCTGAAATGGGATGTTAGCCATCCCATTGCACCACAACTCTTTGTTGTGGCGTGGCGTGAAATACAATGCGACTTGTTTGACATGGAAATCACCCACTTGCTGTTTTTGGAAAGAATATGCTTTTTTTGAGAAGTAAGACTGTGAGGGTGCTAGTACTTGACCCTGGGGGAGTGTAGCTTGGGCTTTCCCAGGGAGTGACCTTGGCGGGTTATTTTGTTGCTGGACACAATGATGTGTCACGTGGTAGCATGGTAGCTTGCAGCACTGTGGGTAGGTTGTGGACCCATTCTCTGCTTTTTGTTTGTGTTGCTTTACCTCCATTTGCCAGATGTACCACTGAGGCAGACAGTACAGCTCCCCTGACTCTGGGCTGCTTCCTTTCCCAGGTTGCCATGAGCCTCCAGACCCCCCTGGCATGGGCACTGGCTGGGGCTCAGCAGAGCCATCTTCTGTCTCGCTGCTGAGCTTCTCAAAGCGGATGAGCTCCAGCTGGAGGCAGACAGGTGCATGGAGTGGGGCGTCTGTGCATCCTGTGCCTTGCCTGCCCGCCCCCCCCCCGTGCCCTTGGTTCTCATCCTCAGAGAGATCTTTCAGTTTGTGCACGTAGCTCTATTTTTCTCCAGGCTGAATGTCCCTAACCCCTTTACTGTTGTGTGTAAGCATGGCATGTTCTGAGAGTTGTTGGAGCTGGCTCCCAAGTTCTGCTTATCCCCAGCCTGGGCTTACGGAATCTGATTATGAGCAGAATGGAAACAGCCACCACTGAGAGCTAAAAGCGTAAAGCCTTCAGGAGGTGTTCTGGGCTTCAAGAACGTGTGGCAAGCACAGCGCTTTGTCAATGGTGCTGTGTGTGTGTGCAGCATGGGTGGGTGGGGGGTGCTTACGATACTGATGTCACGGATCTTCCACTTGGTAGATGTTTGGGGAAGAGAGCTCAGAGCTGCCTCTCCTCAGAGGCCCGAGCACGTCCCCTCCTGCCCACCGGATGCATAGTGGACCACTTGAGTTCTCTAGGTAGCAGGTGCAGTCCTTTGGGGCTGGATACCCCTGAGGTGACTGGAGTGATGGTGATGGTGCAGGTGCCCCTCTGGGAAGAAGACAAGAGAACTCTCGCCTTGTCCTTAGAGTTGTCTTTAAGGATTTTACCTTGCCAGTGCAGCCCAGGCACAGCATCTGGGCGCAGCTGGATGCTGACTAAAGATGCAGGCTGCGGGCTTGGCTGTCAGGTGCCCACACAAATGCCTTCCTCCCCGGTTCTGGGGGGATGGAGCCAGACACCAGTGCTCCAGCAGTGTTTTCTCGGGACTCAGTCTCCTTCTGGCACGTCTCCCTTTGCTTTTTGATCGGAATGGTATCTGTCCAAGAATGGAAGGTACAAGGTCTGTATTTACTGGCACCAGCAGGACTTCTTGTCCTGGAGAGGCAGACTCTGTGGCAATTTTGTTTGATTTTATGATTGTCTCATTATAGTGCTTCCCTCCCCCCCACCCCCGGGCCCTCCAGCCTCTGGAAGGGCAGTGGACCCTGAGGAGGTCTGAGGGGGTCTTGCTTTCTGTCCCTTGTGGTGGGTGCTCCATTTCAGGCGGGTACTTGGGATTTGATGAGAAAACAGACTGGCAGGCTTCCCCTCTGGTGGGTGGAGGCTGGGCAGGCCCTGGACACTGGCAGGTGGGGAGCCGATGCTTGTGCTCACGGTTCTTGGCCATCTCCACCTTTCCTCCCTGAGTCTGAAGAAGCAACACATGCACCAGGTCCCGGGGAGTCTGTGGATCCTGGCTTCTTCTGTCTGTTTGCACACTGGGGCATTGCGCGGGGGAACTTCCCCCTCACTGGGCTCCCAGTGCAATATACCCAGCTGTTTAACTCCTGATCCAGAGTCAGATCTGCTGTGGCCACATCTCATTCCAGCTCTCCAGGGGTCTCCTGCTTTCTCTTGCCCCAGGACAGTCATGACCCAGGGCTTCACACCCATAAGATGTGTGTTTGATGGGCAGTGGGAGCAAATGAACCCAAGAGTGAGCTTCAGAGAGATTTATTGGGCAGTAGTTGCTACTGGTTGAGACAGAAAGAATCCAGAGTCCGAAATCTAGAGGCTCTGTGCTGCCCAGGACAAGGACAGGGCTGGGTAAAGTGTGGGGAGGAAAAAAAACATCACATTAGTGCCAAGGACAAGGAGAAGTGGGACCCTTGGGTATTGGTGAGAGTGCCCGGTTACCAGGCCCTGCAAAATGTGTTGTGTTTTCTGTGGAGCCAGCGTGGTGATTTCAGGGGAGGTGGCTGGCCATTTGGTTCTCCCGTTCAGTTTGCAGGTGTGTCTGCAGGCTGAGGCTGCAGAGGCGGGGACTTGGGAGCTGGCCCTGGGCATTGCAGCAGGAGCTGACTGTGGCCACCTCAAGGCTTCTTCTTAGGCCTCACATCCTGGCTGCCTTATGCCTTCCTGCATCAGAGCTAGCTGTAATGTTCCAAGTGATTAACAAAATACATTATGGACTGACTCAGACAAGCCACCCTGTAGCCAGGAGCTGTTCTCAAGGGAGGTCAGAAGCTGTTGGACCCGCTTTCATGACTCTCCTTCTGCCGTGTCCACGTCACACTCAGGCTACAGGCAATGGCTGCCAGGCAAACGCAGTCTCTCCTCATGGTGCCAGAATGGTTGCCATGCCTCACATTGCACAGCCTCGCACCATCCTCTTTCCCAGCATACAGGCAAGTTTCCCATGAACGCTCACAGACTGTATTGGTTACCCTTTCCTGTACCAGTTAGTGCAGCCAGGGGTCAGAGTATCGGTTGAACCATCAGCACAGCTGGGGTTGGAGGGGGGTCCTTCCCACCCAACACAGCAGCCGGTGTTTATGGAGGGCTGGGAAGGGAAAAAGATCTGCCATCCGTTGATTCACTCCCCAAGTGTCTGCAGCACCCAGGTCTGGGCTGGGAGCCTGGAACTCCACCTGGGTCTCCTGTGTGGATGGCAGGGACCCGAGGGGTGCTCCTTCCAGGGTGAGCAGGAAGCAGGATTGGAAGTGGAACACGAACTGGGTGTTGTGGTAGGAAGTGCAAGTGTCAGAAGTGCTGACTTAACCCCTGCCAAATGCCTGTCTCTAAACTTACCTCTTTTTTAAAAATTTATTTTCTGGACCTGGTGCCGTTTTAGCCTAGCAGCTAAAGTCCTTGCCTTGAACGTGCCAGGATCCCATATGGGCGCCGGTTCTAATCGTGGCAGCCCCGCTTCCCATCCAGCTCCTTGCTTGTGACCTGGGAAAGCAGTCGAGAACGGGCCAAAGCCTTGAGACCCTGCACCCGCGTGGGAGACCTGGAAGAGGAGCTGGGCTCTTGGCTTCGGATTGGTGCAGCACCGGGCGTTGTGGTCACTTGGGGAGTGAATCATCAGACGGAAAATATTTCCTCTTTGTCTCTCCTCTTCTCTGTGTATATCTGACTTTGCAATAAAAATAAATAAATCTTTAAGAAAAAAAATAAAAAAAATATTTTCTTTTTGTTTGAGAGACTGTTACAGAGAGAGAGCTTCCATTGCTGGTTCACTCCCCCAGCGGCCATAATGGTCGGATCTGGGCCAGTCCAAAGCCAGGAGCAGATTTTCTGGGTCTCCCGTGTGGGTGTAGGAGACCAAGGACTTGGGGCATCTTCTGCTGCTTTCCCAGGCCACCAGCAATGAGCTGGATCGGAAGCGGAGCATCCAGAACTCTGACTGGTGCCCATGTGCGATGCTGGTACTACAGGTGGAAGCTTAAGCTACTGTGCCATAGCTGCTAAACTTATCTTTTCATTCAGTTTTTCTTTTTTTTTTTTTAGATCTATTTATTTTTTATTACAAAGTCAAATATACAGAGAGGAGGGGGACAGAGAGGAAGATCTTCCGTCCGATGATTCACTGCCCAAGTGAGCGCAACGGCCGGTGCTGCGTGCATCCAAAGCCAGGATCCAGGAACCTCCTCCAGGTCTCCCACAAAGGTGCAGGGTCCCAATGCCTCGGTCCGTCCTTGACTGCTTTCGCAGGCCACAAGCAGGGAGCTGGATGGGAAGTGGAGCTGCCGGGATTAGAACCGGTGCCCATATGGGATCCTGGCGCGCTCAAGGCGAGGACTTCAGCCGCTAGGCCACGCTGCCGGGCCCTTATTCAGTTTTTCTTCACAGAGTTTTTGAAATCCCTTTGTGTTGTTCTGTGGCCATTGTGTTCCAGCTTGTCCAAGTCCCAGATGGGGACTCTGGGTTTCAGGGAAGTCAACCAGCTTGCCCAAGCCCCACAGCTAGTTCAGGCCAGAGATGGGAAGGGCCGTGGTTTCCAGAGGAGAGATACAGGCACCTGGCGGCATCCCAGGCTTAGGCTGCCCATGCCGTCCAGGGTGCTGCTCTCAGTCTCAGTGCTCGGAGACCAGCAGGGCCAGCTGACCCAAGTGACCGTGATCCCCTGGCAAGTCTGAATAAGGACTCCCATCACGTGCTGCCCCTGGGTTTGGGACACGGGGAGTTCCCAGGAGTTGTTTGGGGACCCTGCATTGACAAGTGCCAGCTGGTACTGCTCAGATGCCCAGTCGGCTCGGGCCCTGTGGAGGAAATGGGGCTGCTACTGGGGAAATGACGCCTCCTCCTTGCTGCCCAGCAGTGGTCCTCCAGGAACTTCCTGCCGCTTGGCAAGTGAGATCCCAAGTTCTTGGGACGGCCAGCCTGCACTCCCCCACCTCCCCCGTCCGGGTCTGACTCCAGCCGGGCTGTCTGCGTCCATGTCTGGCATGCAGTAAGTACTGCCCTGGCCCGTCCCATTCCTGCCTCAGTGGAAAGGGGCTGTAGTCAGCTGTGTGCCACAGCTGCAGAGCAGAGGACCCAGCCGAGGCCCTTTGGGGCTGTCTCTTCCTCCTGCCTCTGTGCCTCTTAGCTCTGTGTTTCTGGTTAAGGCTAGCTTTTTGTGCATTTTAAATGTTGGGTTTTGCACAGCCGGGATGCCTGCCCATAGAGGTCTCCCAGGCCCACAGGGAGGGTCTTGCATCTGTGCATGGCCCGAGTTGAGTTTCTGCTGTCCGGGTGCCTGTGCCCCTGCATCTTGGTGTGGCATGAGTTGGCCTCTGCTCTGAATTTGTGCCGTCAGTTGATCAGCTCTGCAAATGTAGTTTCAGCCTAGCCATGTTTCTGGGCTCTTTTTGCTCACTTTGTGTTTGCAAAGTGGTTTACCGATTTTCTCCTCTTCAGGAACCCCATGGGGAGTGGCTGCTAAAGCTGCCGGTGTGGTGGCCCTGTCCACTGGCTCTGGGGGAACATTCTGGGAACAGCCCATGAGGCTCTCAAGGATGGTTAAGCCGGCACAGACACATGTGTTAACTGGATCCCGATACTCCATGTCCTCTCCTTGTCCCTCGTTTGATGTCGGCAGATGCTGCAGAACCGAGCTGGGTTTTGAGCACTCACCCTGTGTTGCTTTTGGTTGGCTCACTCCCCGGTTCAGTCATTGCTGTTCGTGGTCTCATTTCATCGTTGCTCTTCTTTCTTTACGTTTGCTCCATGGCTGTTTCCCCAACTGCCCGGATGGACGAGGGAAGCCATCTCCATGCGGACCTTGGGGAGGTGTGTTTAAGGCCATGGCTCCCCAGCTGTGTGCTTCATAGTGCTCACAGGACCCCTCACCATTCAAGGAAGTGGCTGCTGGACCCCCAGAGACACCAGGTGCCCCAGTCCCTTGGGAGACACAATGTGATATTTGCATGGAACAGATGCACACCCCCTTTTACAATCATCTCCAGATTACTCACAATGCCTAAGGTACCATGTGCACTGCTGTGTCTGTTGTTTGAGGAGTGATGACAGGAGAAAAGTCTGCACACGCCCAGGGAGGACACAGGCTCCCCTCACTCCAGCCCTGCAGGGAGGACACAGGCTCCCCTCATTCCAGCCCTGCAGTGTTTGGAGGCTAGATGGGTCTGTGTGATCAGAGGCTGTGGATACTGAGTGCGTATTCATGTTGTTCCACTTTGCATATTTGCTTTTTTTTTTTAAGATTCATTTATTTTTACTGGAAAGTCAGATATACAGAGAGGAGGAGAGACAGAGAGGAAGATCCTCTGTCCACTGATTCACTCCCCAAGTGACTGCAATGGCCGGAGCTGTGCCAATCCAAAGCCAGGAGCCAGGAGCCAGGAGCTTCTTCCGGGTCTTCCATGTAGGTGCAGGGTCCCAAGGCTTTGGGCCATCCTTGATTGCTTTCCCAGGCCAGAAGCAGGGAGCTGGATGGGAAGTGGGGCAGCCAGGGCATGAACTGGCACCCATATGGGATCCCAGCGTGTTCAAGGCAAGGACTTTAGCCACTAGGCTATCGCACTGGGTCCCTGTTTCGCATATTTTATAATAATCTGCATGGCTGCTTCACACAGAACATATAATTCGTTGATGGTTTAAACTCATTCTGAAAAAGTGGTTTATAATTCCGTAGTATTGCGGTCTGAGGAAGCGGCCCACAATACAGTGATCATTTGAAATCTACGATAACTTTGGGAGTGTAACTGCTTAGAGACTGTTGGTCAAGGGGAGGTGCTCTGCGTGGAAGAACAACCGGGAAGCCTCCGCAGGGCGTCACAGGGAGGTGTGGTCATCGGAGAGTGTCCAGTACTTGCTCCTCCTCTTTGGCCTCACAGTCCGGAGGGCAACAGCTGAAGGGAATGAGATTACTGCCCTGGGAGGCCCGGGCTGTCCGGTGTTGGAGTAATCCCTGTGAAGGTTGTGGGGAGGAGAGCGAGGATGGCAGGTGTGGGAACTGTCGTACAGAGGCTGCTGCCGGGGGGCTGCAGCTGAGAGGCTGGGCAGCGCATCAGTGGGAGGCAATCCGAGGCTTTGGATGTGTGCAGAACTCACGGGACTTCCCTGCGATCATGATGGCTCGATGCTTCCCAAGTCCTGAAGATGCAGATGAGGATATAGAATGCACTGGGTTTGTCTGTGGTTTTGTGTCTGTGCTGTCCAGTGTGGCATCGCCTGCCCCATGGGCCACTTAAGTTCCCAGCTAGTTACAGTGCCAGTTCCTCCAGCTCGCGTGCCACATGGAGAGCTCTCCACGGCCTTGTGTGCCTAGAGGCCATGGTATGGGAGCACAGGTGCGCATGCACAGCGGCTGTGGGAATAACCTGGCAAGGGATGAAGTTGTCGAGGCTCCTGCGTTCACATCATGTAGGCAGTTGTCTGGGTCGGGGCTAGGTTAGAGCCGGTGATAGCCAGGAAAAAAGGGAATCTATCCACTTCAGCGGGAGGGAGCGCTCACAGCGGGTGTGTTGAAGGCTCAGGATGCTGGTCTGGTAGTGGCTGGGATGCCAGCCAGTACCAGGGCACCTGTGCCTTTGGGTGCCTCTGTGTGTGTGTGTGTACTGGGGCACCCATGCCTTCAGATGCCTGGGTGTGTGTGTTTGTGCGTGTGCGTGGGGGTGTGTGTGTGTGTGTACTGGGGCACCCGTGCCTTCAGGGTGTGTGTGTGTGTGTACTGGGGCACCCGTGCCTTCAGGTGCCTGTGTGTGTGTGTGTGTGTGTGTGTGCGTGTGCGTGGGGGTGTGTGTGTGTGTGTACTGGGGCACCCGTGCCTTCAGGGTGTGTGTGTGTGTGTACTGGGGCACCTGTGCCTTCAGGTGCCTCTGTGTGTGTGTACTGGGGCACCCGTGCCGTCAGGTGCCTGGGTGTGTGTGTGTGTGTGTGTGTGTGTACTGGGGCCCGTGCTGTCAGGTGCCTGGGTGTGTGTGTGTGTACTGGGGCACCCGTGCCTTCAGGTGCCTGGGTGTGTGTGTGTGTGTGTGTGTGTGTGTGTGTACTGGGGCACCCGTGCCTTCAGATGCCTGGGTGTGTGTGTTTGTGCGTGTGCATGGGGGTGTGTGTGTGTGTGTGTACTGGGGCACCCGTGCCTTCAGGTGCCTGGGTGTGTGTGTGCGTGTGTGTGTGTGTGTGTGTGTGTGTGTACTGGGGCCCGTGCCTTCAGATGCCTGGGTGTGTGTGTGTTTGTGTGTGTGTGTGTGTGTGTGTGTGTGTGTGTGTACTGGGGCACCCGTGCCTTCAGATGCCTGGGTGTGTGTGTTTGTGCGTGTGCATGGGTGTGTGTGTGTGTGTGTGTACTGGGGCACCCGTGCCTTCAGATGCCTGGGTGTGTGTGTTTGTGCGTGTGCATGGGTGTGTGTGTGTGTGTACTGGGGCACCCGTGCCTTCAGATGCCTGGGTGTGTGTGTTTGTGCGTGTGCATGGGTGTGTGTGTGTGTGTGTGTACTGGAGCACCCGTGCCTTCAGGTGCCTGTGTGTGGGTATGTGTGTGTGTGTGTGTGTGTGTGTACTGGGGCACCCGTGCCGTCAGGTGCCTGTGTGTGTGTGTGTGTGTGTGTGTGTGTGTGTGTGTGTGTGTGTGTGTGTGTACTGGGGCCCGTGCCGTCAGGTGCCTGGGTGTGTGTGTGTTTGTGTGTGTGTACTGGGGCACCCGTGCCTTCAGGTGCCTGGGTGTGTGTGTGCGTGTGCATGGGTGTGTGTGTGTGTGTGTGTACTGGGCCCCGTGCCTTCAGGTACCTGTGTGTGTGTGTGTGTGTGTGTACTGGGGCACCCGTGCCTTCAGGTGCCTGGGTGTGTGTGTGTGTGTGTGTGTGTACTGGGGCCCGTGCCTTCAGGTGCCTGGGTGTGTGTGTGTGTGTACTGGGGCCCGTGCCTTCAGGTGCCTGGGTGTGTGTGTGTGTGCGCGCACACATAAGTGCTAACCCGCCGGCACCTTCTTCTCTCCTGCAGCGAACTGAAGAAGAGGTACAACATCACAGCCATCCCCAAGCTTGTGGTTGTGAAGCAGAACGGGGAGGTCATCACCAGCAGGGGGCGCAAGCAGATCCGGGAGCGGGGGCTGGCTTGCTTCCAGAGCTGGGTGGAGGCGGCCGACGACGTGTTGCTGAACTTCTCTGGTTGAATCGGGACACGGAGAGGGCGGCTGGGAGGCTGTGGGTGCAGCGCAGCTACCCAGGGAGCCCAGAGGGGCGGCTGTTTGCCCTTCCCGGAGGGCTGACTGTAAATACAGCTGAGGAGTAATCCCCCGCACCCCCTTCTGATCCTGTTACTTGCTTGTACGCAACTCCTCTTGGATAGCTTTATCCGCCTGCACCTTGCAGGCACGGGGCTCACAGACATTTGGTTGTCGCCAGACAAGACAATCGTGGAAGCGGGACTTGAAATTCAATCAATCTATAGCAGGCTGGCGTTTAAATTGATCGCGTAGTATGGCTTCCCAGTTATGCTACAGACACTCAATTGGCCCTTGGTTGAAGAAAGAGTCCCCGGCGCTGAGTTCCTTGCATTCATACGAAGCTACCTGGAATCTGTGCAAAGCGTCTCTGTACGTCTGTCTTCAGGTAAAATTATCTATTTATGGGTATTTTTTTTTTCCAGGGGAACTATACATTTTAATGATATGCCTTCATAGCTATATTTATTAATACAGTATGCAGGCTCTGTGCTTTAATAAACAAATATTTCTACCTGTGCACCTCTCTCTTCTTATCCCAGGTCAAATGCCACTAGAGGAAAATGCATCACTCAGTAAAAGCTACGGTATAGACTGTGTGTCCTGTGCGGTTTTTTTTTTTTTAATTCTGTGTCATTTTAGGCATGTTCCCCTCTTCTCTTTGTTTTCTTTAATTATTTATTTGAAAGGCAGAGTGGCAGAGAAAGAGGGCAATACCTTGAGACAACCTCCACTGGTTCACACCCCAGCGGCTCTTCCTGGTCCCCCACATGGGAGCAGGAGCTTGAGGACTTGAGCCATCCTCCTCTGCTTCCCCAGGCCTTAAAGGGAGCGTGCTCAGAAGAAGAGCAGCTGGGCCTTGAACCTGTGCCCATTTGCATGTTTATTTGCATGTTGCAGATCAGACCTCAACATTTCCTAAAAGATGATCCTTGCAGGGAGGCCATCAGTGCGCATGTCGGCTAGCGCTAACGGGAAGGCTGTTGGAGGAAGGCTGTTGGAGGCTCGAGTCATGGCCCACCCTGCAACGCCTTCACCAGCTACACAGAGTCTCTTCTGTTCCCTTCCCGGGTCATTGAGGTCCTGGTGCTTGGGGAACTGTCAGTACTGGATACCCGCTCTAGTCCAGCCACATCTGCACATCCTGCTGGCTTGCTGGGCCGTTCTGCCGGGACTCTGGAGCAAAGCTGGCCCTGTAGGAACCAGGAGTGCCCTCATCCGCAGAGGCCACCTGTGGGGCAATGTGCAGAGGAGTCCAGGGGCTGTGCTTTGCCGCCTCTTTCCCCTACCCTGTCAGTCCCCTTCTCTCCACTGAAAACCCAGACCTGGTTTCCTGGGGGTCCAGTAGCTGCCTCGGGACCTCTGTGGGGCAGCAGCCCCGGTCAGTACCTGACCCCAAAAGCATCATGTGGGGATGGACTTCCTTCTGCAACCAACAACGTGTAGTGACTTGAAGTGTAGTAGGTGTGCGCAGTGTGTATGTGATGTGTGAGCAGTGTGTATATGATGTATGTGGTATGTGTGGTATGCAATCTGTCTGAAGCGTGTATGATGGTGTGTGAGATGTGAGTGATGTGTGTGTGTAATGTGCATGGTATGAGTGGGGTGTGATGTATGTGACGTCTGTGATTGTGAATGTGTGTGTGTAGTGTGCATGAGATGTCTGTGATATCTCCGTGTGCAAGTGTGTAGTATGGATATGGTGTGTGGTGTGTATATGCTATGTGATGTCTGTGTGTGTGGTGTGTATATGCTGTGTGACGTGTGTAATGTCTCTGTGTGGTGTGTATATGCTATGTGACGTGTGATGTCTGTGTGTGGTGTGTATATGCTGTGTGACGTGTGTGATGTCTGTGTGTGGTGTGTATATGCTGTGTGACGTGTGTGATGTCTCTGTGTGTGGTGTGTATATGCTGTGTGACGTGTGTGATGTCTGCGTGTGGTGTGTATATGCTGTGTGACGTGTGTGATGTCTGTGTGTGGTGTGTATATGCTGTGTGACGTGTGTGATGTCTGCGTGTGGTGTGTATATGCTGTGTGACGTGTGTGATGTCTGCGTGTGGTGTGTATATGCTGTGTGACGTGTGTGATGTCTGTGTGTGGTGTGTATATGCTGTGTGACGTGTGTGATGTCTGCGTGTGCGGTGTGTATATGCTGTGTGACGTGTGTGATGTCTCTGTGTGTGGTGTGTATATGTTATGTGACGTGTGTGATGTCTGTGTGTGGTGTGTATATGCTATGTGATGTGTGTGATGTCTGTGTGTGGTGTGTATATGCTATGTGCTGTGTGTGATGTCTGTGTGTGGTGTGTATATGCTATGTGACGTGTGTGATGTCTGTGTGTGTGTGGTGTGTATATGCTGTGTGACGTGTGTGATGTCTGTGTGTGGTGTGTATATGCTATGTGACGTGTGTGATGTCTGCGTGTGGTGTGTATATGCTGTGTGACGTGTGTGATGTCTGTGTGCGGTGTGTATATGCTATGTGACGTGTGTGATGTCTGTGTGTGGTGTGTATATGCTATGTGACGTGTGTGATGTCTCTGTGTGTGTGTGTGGTGTGTATATGCTATGTGATGTGTGATGTCTGTGTGCGGTGTGTATATGCTATGTGATGTGTGTGATGTCTGTGTGTGGTGTGTATATGCTGTGTGACGTGTGTGATGTCTGTGTGTGTATATGCTATGTGACGTGTGTGATGTCTGTGTGTGGTGTGTATATGCTATGTGACGTGTGTGATGTCTGTGTGTGGTGTGTATATGCTATGTGCTGTGTGTGATGTCTGTGTGCGGTGTGTATATGCTATGTGACGTGTGTGATGTCTGTGTGTGGTGTGTATATGCTATGTGACGTGTGTGATGTCTCTGTGTGTGGTGTGTATATGCTATGTGACGTGTGTGATGTCTGTGTGTGGTGTGTATATGCTATGTGACGTGTGTGATGTCTCTGTGTGTATATGCTATGTGACGTGTGTGATGTCTGTGTGTGGTGTGTATATGCTGTGTGACGTGTGTGATGTCTCTCTGTGTGTGTGTGGTGTGTATATGCTATGTGATGTGTGATGTCTGTGTGTGGTGTGTATATGCTGTGTGACGTGTGTGATGTCTGTGTGGTGTGTATATGCTATGTGATGTGTGATGTCTGTGTGTGGTGTGTATATGCTATGTGACGTGTGTGATGTCTGTGTGTGGTGTGTATATGCTATATGACGTGTGTGATGTCTGTGTGTGGTGTGTATATGCTATGTGCTGTGTGTGATGTCTGTGTGTGGTGTGTATATGCTATGTTTCGTGTGTGATGTCTGTGTGTGTATATGCTATGTGACGTGTGTGATGTCTGTGTGTGGTGTGTATATGCTATGTGACATGTGTGATGTCTGTGTGTGGTGTGTATATGCTATGTGACGTGTGTGATGTCTGTGTGTGGTGTGTATATGCTATGTGATGTGTGGTGCTGTGTTGTCTGTTGGGGGGTCTTTTGGGGGCTCCGTGAGGGAGGCGGCCAGCACAGAGGTCACTGTGCTTGGACCAGCATGGAGGACACCAGCCTTTCCTCCTCCAGCTGCCCGGCCTGGAAGGGGTGAGGCTCATTGAAATTGTTGCTATCAGAAGACATTTTCCTTAGTACCACAACCGCCCCAGCAGCTTGTTTTCCTGAATGTCAGGCGATGTGAATCCAGCCTTACCTCAGAAGATTCCAGAACCCATTGCTGTGTGAGTGCCTCATGCCACTTACACTATACATACAAGATCTGCTCATGGCAGTGGATCCTGGAAGCCAGAGGGACATCACCCTGGGGATGTAGTTACTCTCTGTGTCCCCCTGAAGCCACCAATGTTCTTCTCTGGGCATGCACTAGCTCCTTCGCTGTAGCCTTGCTGTCCTCGGAGTGGTCCTGGCCAGCAGCAGGCACCATGGGGCAGCGGGTGAGAGATGTGACATCCCACCCGGATCCCTCCCCACTGGTTTGGGAGTGAGCCATGTGTGCATAATAACAGCCTGGCCTTGCCACTCCACTAAGCAAGTTGAAAAGTTGTCCTTATGCTTGGTGACATTAACCTGTGACCCACCTAACTGGCAGCTTTTGCCAAAACGCATGCGATGGACTGTACGTCCCACCTGCAGGCCTGGCCTCCCCCTCTCCCAGGAGAGGTCGAGTCGCAGCTTCCTGTGCTACCAGGAAGCCCCACAGGCTTGCAGCCACTCACAGCGAAACATGCCTGTGGGGAGCTGCTGAGCGAACACACAGCACACACACACCATAGTTACATCACACACATAGCACACACCACACACCATACTCAGGGCAAACAGCTCCACAGCACGTGTATATGTGTGCATTTACATGTAGTCTGCACACCACGTATCAAGCATACATACAACCTCCACACACAGCCTGCATGCCACATACTGCACTCTCAGCGCACACAGCCGCCCAGTGCCGAATGCACAGCACGCCACTATGCCATCCACACAAGCCCCCACCCACACAGACCACACATGCGTAGACCCGCTCATAGCCTGGTGTTCTTCTCCCGTTCTGAGACATTCCTGGGGGAAGATGGATGGGAGAAGACACAGCCATGTAGAGTCGGGAGGAGGAGGGTGGGCCGGTGGAATCTGCAATTAATTAGCTTGCTTTCTTTCTCTCTTCCTTCCTTCCTTCCTTTCTGCACTTTTTCTCTTTCTTTTTTCCTTCCTTCCTTTTTTTTTTTTTTGGCCCAGAAACAATTGCACCTTCTTCCTGCCTTCAGTCATCAAAAAACAAATGCAAATCCTTACACAATAGCTCAAACCATTTTGATCCATCAAATTGTGGCCTCAGCGAAGATGATGAAAAACTGTGCTGTTGGTGCAGGCAGGTAGCTCATGAGTGAGAAGAGGCTGAGGACTGCCAGTGCCTGAGCCACAACCCAAAGCCAGCGTGGACGCCCGAACCCCCAAAGCGTACCCACTTGTGTGCAAATCGCACTCATGCGTGCGTTTCCAGACCCTGTCTGCAGGCGTGTCGGCATCTGCCTCCCACATATCTTTCTAAAAGATTTACTTATTTTTATTTTAACATTAGATTTACAGAGAGGAGAGACAGAGAGAAATATCTTCCATCTGCTGGTTCAATCTCCAAGTAGCCACAATGGCTGGGAGCTAGGCTGATCTGAAGCCAGGAGCCTCTTCCTGGTCTCCCATGTGGGTGCAGGGTCCCAAGGCTTTGGGCCATCCTCCACTGCTTTTCCAGGCCACGAGAAAGAAGCTGGATGGGAAGTGAAGTAACCAGGATAAGAACTGACACCTATATGGGATCCTAACACACGGAAGGTGGGAATGTAGCCACTAGGTTATTGTACTGGTGCCCCTGCTTTTTTTTTTTTTTTTTTTAAAGGATAAGCAACTCTACTGGCACACTGGCATAGTTAACACAAATTTGACATTAGCCAGGCCCAGAAAGCTTGCCAGCTCTTAGCTGCTTTTCGCCCAGCAATGTAACATTTACCTAGTTGCAAGGCCACCTAGGCAGCTGCCTACAGCTGGAGGATGCCTGAAGTTACTTGAACTTTACACCACAGGCAGCAAAAAGTGATAGAGTAGGAATTTTCAAAATTTGAGAAACACACTTTGTTATGGAAACAGACGTGTGAAGAATAAGGGAACACCACCCCTTTCACAGCACTCGCTGTGCCTGTAAGTGACCCAGCAAGCCCGTCTGGAAGGGGCAGAGCAAGCAACACCGCTCTTGGGTGAAGCGGCGGCATGCTGTGCCGTCCGGCTTCAGTCGGTGGTGTGACAATGGCGCGGGAGCCGCCTGGTTCAGAGGATGACTGTCCCTTCCCGCAGGAGCCAATAACCTCTACATCATCTCCGTGAAGGGGATCCAGGGACGGCTGAACAGGCTCCCTGCCGCCGGCGTTGGGGACATGGTGATGGCCACAGTCAAGAAGGACAAGCCAGAGCTGCAGGAGAAGGTACATCCTGCAGTGGTAATTCGACAATGAAAGTCATACAGAAGAAAAGATGGTGTGTTTCTTTATTCTGAAGATAGTGCAGGAGTCATAGTAAACAACAAAGACGAGATGAAAGGTTCTGCCATCACTGGGCCAGTTGCAAAGGAGTGTGCAGACTTGTGGCCCAGGATTGCATCCAACTGAGGCGGCATTGCCTAGTTATTCAGTGTATTTATGTAAAAAAGATGACCGATTAAAAATTATTTGTGCCTCCCCCCCGAAAAGAATAAGGGAACACAATCCACAGTCTGAGAAAATATATCCTAGAGCAGATATCGGATAAAGGACCCATATCTAAGACAGGGTGGGGAACATCCAGCCTGCAGACCATAAAAAGTCCTCAAAAGTGTATGATCTGGCTTTGCTAAGGCAGGAGAACCCTGGACTGGAATTTAATACATTTTTTAAAAGCAGGAATATTTTAAAAATTTTCTTTTTAACTTCTTTTAAAAATTATTAATATCATAATCATTTTGTGATACAGTTCCATAGGCCCTGAGATTTCCCTTCTCTCCTCCCGCCCCCACTAAGTTCCCCTATATGATTACTATAGCATAGTTCTTCATAAACAGCCATTCGTCCATCATTGCAGGCTTGGACAATGGCAGAGAATCCAGCTTCCTGTTAGCAAGATATTGTTAACAGTTTCATTGGGAGTCCATCTTGGATCTGGAAGTAGATATACCTATGGCAGGATACGTTTTTTTCTTTTTTTAAAATTATTATTTTATTTTGATAATCCTTACATAGTTGATTAGGGCACAAAGGGTCAAGGGCGACAGGGACGTGGGTAAGACCGTTGTTTCCACATTCTCTCTCTCTCTCTCTTTTCTGTATCTGGGGTAAGTGGGGTAAGAGAGAAGCCCACCCATCCATCCAGCTTCCCAACCATCCCAGGATCCCCAACGTGGAGCATGCTCCAAGAACACTGCTCAGGTGGTTTTGGTAGTTGAACTGTTCTGAATTGCTGCCAATCTCTCCATTCTGGCATGATGACATCTCTCCAGAATCCATTGGCTCACATAGTCCACCTTAGAGTCTCTGCCCAGATTTTCACTGCCAACACATGGCTGGGCTAGTTGGTGAATTTGTTCTGTCCTTTGTCATTTGTTGTGGTATCAGGTGTCTGCTGCAGGTTCTGTTGGACTACCATGTCCTCCATGTGCACCTGGATATGCTGTCCACTGCTCTATCTGAGCCACCGGGGAGGCTCAACTTTGACACATGCACTCCATGGTCAGACCATGGAACCTGCACTTCTCTTTCATGATTGGGGTTCTGAGATCAGCCGTTCAGTTGGGGGATCCCCAAAGAAACTTCATCTGACGTGACCCCAGACCTGGTTCTTGTGTGTGTGCATGCTACTACAGGGTCTGGCACAGTCCATCGCCACTATCAGCCTATGCATATGCTGATGGTTGCAATTGCTGGGTCAGTTCTGCCTACAGCCCTGTCTTCTACACTAACCAATGGGTGTTGCTGCCCAGCCTAATTTGACCTGCCTCACACTTGGCCCTCACACAAACCAGTGGGAGCTGCAGCCTAGACAGAGTGACCTGCAATAATCCCCACCGTCTCATCCCCTGCCCGGGTTCCCGTGCTTGCCAGTATGTACAGCAGACTGGTCCAGTCCGTCCCACATCCCATTAAGTTCTCATACATGTCAATGGGCACTGAAGCCTAGTTCAACCCAACCAGCCCCACTATTCAGCCCACACACATGCTGGTAGGTGCTGTTCAGTGTAGCCATGCCTACCCCAGTCCTTCAGTAGGCGGAGTGGCAACCCAGGAAAGCCCTATACCCACCATTTCGTACTGGGTCCATTCCCACTCCTATATCTTGCACTCTCCAGATGGTTCTGCAATTTAACTGGACAGAATGAACTTCTCCCCACCCCCCCACCATGCTAGCATCTGCCAGCTGATGCTGCGGTGAAGTCCAACCACCTGACACCCACTCTGATTTATGTTTGCACCAGTAGGAACAAGCCCAGCCTGGCTTTTCCATGATCTAGCTCACTTGCAGGCCAACAGGTGTTGTAGTCCTGGCCAACCCAGTCTGCCCTTGATCCCAGCTCTCATAGTCACCAGCGGAAGTAGTGGTCCAGCAGGGGAGCCCTCTGCATTCCTCTTATCAGCTTTGTGCCCCCTCCCCCAATTCTCATGGGTGCTGGTTGGGTGTCGTGTCCCAGTCTGGCATGGCCTGCTTCACCCTGGCATTTGCCAGGGGGTGCTGTAGCCTGGCCCAGCCTGGCTCACCCCCAATTCCAGCTCAGGTTGATGGGGGCTATAGCCTAGCCTAGCCTAGCCCAGCCAGCACCCAGTCCAAGCCATAATGTGTACTGGTATGTGCTGTGACTGAACAAGGCTCGACCTACACTCAGTTTTGGTGCTTGAATTTGTCAGTGGATGATGTGAACTGGTTCAGCCTGGTCCGCCCCCAACCTGTTCCAAATGCATGCTGGTGGGTACCATTCCCCGGCCTGGTCTGGGCTGCTCCCTATCGTGATTCTTGTGCTCACCTGCAGGGACTGTGTCCTGACAGAGGAGTTTCTCAAGCAACTCCATCAGAACCTCTCCCAGTGTCAGGTCTCATGCTCATTGATGGGTCCATGGGCCAGCCCTACTTAGTGCATCTCCTGTCCTAGCAGGAACAGTAGTCTTTCCTGACTGGCCTTCAGCCTATTCCAGTTCTAACTGCTGGAGGTTTCAGCCCAGCGAAGGCTGGTCCATACGCAGACATAGTTCACACCCAGCTCAGTAGGGGCAGAGACCTAGCCTAGCCTGTCCTACGCCTACCCTGGTTCTCATGAGCACCAGTGGGTGCTGGGGTCTAGCCAAGTCTGGCACACTCAGCCCCAGTCCACAATTGTGCTGATTGACACTGCAGCCATATCCAGACCTGAACGTGGCTCCCGCTCCAGCCCCCAAACTCACCAGTGTGAACCCTAACCCAGCCAGGGTGTCCTTTTTGCTCTCCAACCTACTCTGTTCTCAGCTATAGATCTTGCATGTGGCCATGTTTGCTCTGACCCAGCGTGGCTTAGTCCCTCACCTGTCTTGACCTTTGCCTTAGATACTGTAGCTTGGCCTGACTGGGCTGGCACCCCATCCCTATTCTCTCTGCTGGGTGCTGGAACCTGGCCCTGGCCAGTCTACGCCTATCCCTGGCTCATGTAAGCAAATAGGTGTAAGAGCCTAGCTCAGCATAACTGTGCTCCAGCCTGATTTTTGTTCTTGTTGGTGAGCTAAGGTTTGTTTGCCCCTGCCCGGTCCACCCTCTTGCATAACTAGCCCACACATTAGCCAACAGTTGGAGCTACTTTGCCCAGCTTGCCTGACCCCCAGCTCTGGACCATGTGAACATCAGTGAGAGTTATGACCCACTAGGGGAGTTTCCCGCTTTCCCCTACTTGACTTGGCCCACTCTCAGACTCAGATCTCATACATGACAGCAGGTATTAGACCCTTGCCCAGTATAGTCTGCCCTTCCATCTTGGCCTTGTATGAGCTGGTGAACGTTACAGCCTGGCATGTCCCAAATTCTGCAGTCTGGACCTGCCCAAACTGTTATCGGTCTCTGAGTGATGGCAGGTTCCATGTCACACCTAGCTCAGTCCAACACCACTCCAACTCTAGAGCTAGCCAGCAGGACTTGTATTTCCACAGGGTTGGGCCCACACCTCTCCCACACAATTTCCCCTCAGACCTGGCTCTCTCACATGCTCATTAGTGTCATGACCCTGCCTAGTGTGATCCATCCCTTGTTTCGACGTTCTGTCAGGCACTGGGATCCAGCCCTGCCAGGCAGGCCCTCAGCCTTAGATATCGCATGGACTTGCATGTGTTGGTCAGCATTAGTCAGTGACAACAAACCCTACACAGGACTCACTTGTAGGCAGGTGTGAGAGAAGGTGGGTACACAGGAACTCCTCTTCCAGCAGGGGGCGCAGGACTCCAGGTTAACAGCGCTCACATAGCGCAGTGACTAAAATCCGAAGCTCCCCGGGTCAACATTTAGTTTTTCCGTCCATCTTCCCCAAGTATTTGCTCCTTCCAAGGGTTTTTTGTTTTTGTTTTCCCCATAGAAACACTGCACAAACTTCCTTCTAAGAGCTGTGTAACATTCCCTGGCTGCACATCATTTATTATGGGATACTGAAGTATTTTGACTCTTAGAAATAAGGCTCCTGAAATATCTGTGTGGATGCAATTTTCTTTCTTATTCACTCTGTGTGTGTTAATTACAGATAGACGTATTAGATAAAAGGGATTAAAGATTTAAAAATATTCTTTAGGGCCCGGCGCGGTGGCGCAAGTGGTTAAGGTCCTCACCTTGCACGCCCGGGATCCCATATGGGCGCCGGTTCTAATCCCGGCGGCCCTGCTTCCCATCCAGCTCCCTGCCTGTGGCCCGGGAAAGCAGTCTAGGACGGCCCAAAGCTTTGGGACCCTGCACCCGCGTGGGAGACCTGGAAGAGGCTCCTGGCTTCGGATTGGCACAGCATCGGCCATTGCACTCACTTGGGGAGTGAATCATCGGACGGAAGATCTTCCTCTCTGTCTCTCCTCTCTGTATATCTGCCTTTCCAATAAAAAATAATAAAAATAAATCTTTAAAAATATATATTCTTTAATATTTTTTTTCTTTTTACTTGAGTTACAGAGAGAAAAAGAGAGAGAGGGAGAGACACACAGAGAGCTCTTCCGTCTACTGTCGCACTCCCTACGTGGTCACAGTGGCCGGAGCTGAGCAGATCTGAAGCCTGGAGCCACAAGCCTCCTCTG